ATTGGAGGGGATTCTATGAAGAACACGAAGAACACAAGGGGAAAACACGAGAGAATCAATCAAACCAACAAGATTCGATTACACATGTGCTAGATCCTCGAAACACAAAGAGATACACGATCCGAATCCAACAAGGGATGATACATAGGTAACACGTTCTTCTCTGTGAGGAGGTCTTGAGGTCTTGCCGTTAGGGGTCTTGAATCTGCTTGGGGGGATCTTCTCCGTAGAGGTCGTGAACTCTGATGGAGAAGTAACCAAGTGGATGAGCAAAGCTCTATCTCTAATATGAGCTATCACATTGCTAACCCTAACTAGGAGGAGGAGGACGTCTATTTATAGTCTTAGTGCAAATGGGGTGAAGTGAAGGGGTACATGGGCCTCGGGCACGAAACTGTGTGCAGACAGGTACCGGACGTCCGGTGGGTTCCGGTCGTCTGGTGGCTCATGGGCGTCCGGACGTCCGAAAGTCGCCGGACTTCCGTCATTTCGGCTCGGTTGAAGTGGCACCGGATTTCTGAAGATGGCCGGTCGTCCGGTCACTTCGGACTTCCGCTGATTTCATTCTGTTGGGGACCTGCCAGATTTCCGGTGGATCCCGGTCGTCCGGTCGCTGGGAGTTGTCGATCGTCCGGTCCTGGACGGACATCCGGCCGCTGTAGCATTCACTGGCCTGGCTTCCTCTGGCTGGCGTGGCCTTCAGGGACCGGACGTCTAGTCTGGAGCGGTCGTCCGGTGGCTGCAGCTCTTCTTGCAGCTCTTTTTCTTGTCCCTCATACTTGGTGTCCTCACCGTCTTGTCCGTTGGATGTAGCTGCTCCGTGGCCTTCCTCCAAGTACCTGATCACACATAGTATTTCCGCTTGAGGTAGTAGCCATGTGGCATTTGTAGAAAGTGGTAGTTTGGAGAGGAGCGAGTTCACCTTATCTTCGATAGCCTTTGCTCGAGCTCTTGTCATTGGTCCAAGTGGTGTCGTGGGAGATGTCGATACGTCCATGGGGATGACTGTGGGATGCTCCGCATCATCTTGTTTTTAGCTGTTTTTGGGAGTTTGTTTAGAGTTTGTGACCTACTTAGGAAGACGAAGCGGCTGCGGTTCCTTGAAGATGGAATAACAATCTCCCCGCCTAGCTCCCGTTTCGGTGATGCATCTAGAATCTTCAAAGGGCGTGTGGAGGTGTGTCTTCGACGGATCTCACGAGATTCGGTCGATGCTGGTCTTCGGTGGATCTGCTTGGATCCAATCTGTGTTAGTCTTTGTTCGTGTCTCTACATGTTGAATCCTTTCGATCTATACTTTTTTTTCATCGACAACGGTTGTTGTTTTGGTGCGCCGGCCCTACAGGGTCTTAGCACGACGACTTCTTGACTGCCTACTACAACAAGTTTAACCCGGCTCCGGTGAGGGAGGGCCAATGATGGCGGCACGCCTCCGGTCGCTCTAGTAGTTGTAGTCGTCGCTAGGTAGTCTATAGACATGGATGTAATTTTTGTTATTTCTGCACTCTTTGTACTGAGATGACATGAAGAATACATCGGATGTTTGCTCGCAAAAAAGCCATCAACACTACATATATCTATACCTAGCCATATGTCGGCCGGTCCGGGTGTAACAAAGCCCGAAGAAGAAAACATAGGCCCGGGCCCAGCCCGATAGTCGGGGCTAGATTTCAGGCCCAAGCCCGGCCTGTCAGTGAAAAAACACGTATTTTCCAATGGGTTTGCCCCCTCCCAACTTGGTATAAAACAATGCTCGAACCCATACTATATACCCAGTCATCTCCACTAACTTATTTATCTTAATATGAAAGCATGTTACCTCATCATATAAGAATGGCCATAGTGGGAGTAACTTCAAGAGTAACATAAGCTCCAACTCAGCAAAATTGCCTATGTGATATTGAGTTAATGAAAAGAGACATAAGCTGAGTAAATCATAACAACACGTATCCCAATACAATACTACCTCTGTCCAGGTTTATAGGGCCGGCTAGCACCACATAGCCATCCGTTTGTATTAGGCCAACTCCACCGCGTGACCCATTTTTACCCCAAATTGTTCGTTTGTGTCCGTTTGGGATAAAATGGACAAACCGAACGACCCAACGCATGGGAGCATACGGACGTTTCGTCCGATCTGTGTCCGCTTTTGCCCCATTTCCAGACCAAAGTTGCTCTCGGTTTGAGGCCAAAGCGGACAGAAAGCGGACGTCTTTGCGTCCTCCTCGTCCGTCTGTGTCCGCCGTCGACCCCACCTGTCATACTCTCCTTTTCTATACCTGGCCCACCACGCGCACCCACCACCACTTCCTGCGCGCGGGACGGCAGCGGCGTGCGCGCGGGACGGCGACGACGTGCGCGCGGAAGGGCACGGCGGCGACAAGCGCGCGGGACGGCGGCGGCCTGCACGCGGGAGGGCGCGGCAGCGCGCGGGATGGCGAGGCAGCGGCGAGCTCGCGGGAGGGCATGGCAGCGGCGAGCGCGCGG